ACAACTTCAAGAATTGAGGGATACCATTTTATCTTTATCAACTCTTTGAATCTTTCATGGGACTAATAGCTGCGACATATCTCATTAAGATCACATTAGTCCCTAATTTGGGTGTCATTAATACACCAAAACCCACATAGGGGGTAAATGCACTTTCAAATCCTCAGTCTAAAATATACTGAGTAAGCAACTCATCATCCGAGTACCAGTCCTCTACCACAACCTTGTTGCTATGGCTAGGCTCACCTGCATTACTCTGACCTGCGTGTCGCCTGTAGTAAGCGGCCTCTGCTTCATCTGCGGCCTCTGCGGCCTGAGTGAAGAACGCGTTGTCATCCTCCTCCACCTGCAAGCCCGCCTCTGCTAGAGCGATGAGCTCGCTTAGTCTACCAGTGTAGTTCTCAGCCTCCTCCGCCTTCAAGCCCGCCTCTGCTAGAGCGATGAGCTCGCTCAGTCTGCCAGTGTCGTCCTCTGCCTCCTTCGCCTGCAAGCCCATCTCAGTAAGAGCGATGAGATCACTCAACCTGGCAGTGTCGTTATCATCCTCGTCACCCTCATCAGACAACATAGTCGGTGATTGAACGGTGCGACCAGCTCGCGTTCTGTGCTCATCTAACTTCTTTTCCTCATACCTTGCACGAGCCACCTCTACGGCATAGTCCTCGCTGCATTCAATCCCTTCATGTATAAAATACAATCAGTTAGCAACGTGGTTATATTACATTTAAAATCAGGCAACGAAAAAAGGCTTTCAAGCACTCACTGGCACATAATGCAACAACATGCTCGTTCAAGACCTGCATCTGTACTCTTGTCTCCTCCCTTGCCTCTGTCCTTGCCCTCTCCTCCTCTAACGTTCTCCGTCTCTCCAATCCCCATTTGTTAAGTCCAACATCGATCGGGTTACGAATACCGCGCTGTCTAGCAAACTCACGCATCTTGTTTTTGTGATATTTAACGAATAGGTTGACGTAGTCAGGTCCATATCCCCTCTTCCATGCAATTACTTGCTGCCCCTTTAGTTCATCCAAGAACTTAGCTTGACTATCATAACATTCCCACCTGCATTTCCTAGTGCTCTGTTCAAACAAAAAATTATATCATACATGTCTTAGCAAAAGAAACAAAATACGATTTCATGTTTACCACAAAAATAATCAACCTCATCATAGTCGACCATATGGCCGCAATAATGGCCTATTCCAAGCTCCGAAGGGACTAGACCGTAGTTAGATTTAACACCACATTCGCACTTGACTGGAGGTGCTTTGTAAATTAACCTTTCTTTCTTTTTTTTCCTTTGCATTTGGTGGCTCCGGCCATTGATTCTTATGACCGTAGAGCCACTCATTGAAACGACACTTCGCAAATCCATAACGCTACAAGAGAATACATTAGTACACGCACACATATAGAGATAAATATTTAAACAGATACACTTTCCACTTACTTCGTGTTTGTTCAGACACATAAACTCCAACGTATTCTCAGGGTTTATCACAGCTCGATCTCCGCATTCGCACAGAGGAGGTTCCTTGAGCCGTCTAACTATGGCTAGGTGCTTCTCCTTAGTTGTCATTGGCGGGGGGTTAGGGGGTGGAACCCAATGCTGAAAGTGCTCACGTGGATGTCTCCTTCTACACCAATCGTTGAAAAGGAAGTACCTAGGGTCAAACTTCTCTGCACCGTCGATCCACTGAAAGAAAAAGCACCTCGGTCCTACACAACAAGATTCCAATAAAATATTAGTAACCTACTTACACAAATGAAGAAAAAAAGATAGTGGAAACAATTACTTACATTAAAACGACTGCATGTGTAGAAGCAACGCGCCGCTGTGTCTGGATGTCTCGATTGAAACATGTCGGCCGAAAAACCACAGTCACAGTTAGGGACAGGGAGGTCAGGAGGGACGGGGGCATCTTTGCTAGACGCGTCGGGGTATAATTCTCGAGGACGACCCCGTTTTTGCCAAAACTCCTCCCGATACATTTCTTCATCTAACAAAACGGTCGTAATTTAACAAACAACAATCAAAACATCACTAATTAATGTCAATGAGAACCATAACTACAATACAACCAATTTCATTATAAGAACCGAAAACAATTAACATTAAACCCTAAACCTAGGGTTTTCCATTTGATGCACAACAATGAACCCATAACATAACAACATGCGCTGCGGTTACCTAGGTTTGCTAGCTTTTCCACGCCTTAGCATCATCCTACGGTTGTATAATACAAATATTAAAAATTGCATTAAACCCAAGTCATGACGATTCTTAGGTTGAAAAATCCGACTAATATATACTGAATCGATGCGAAAAAAAATTAGGAGGGGAGCGAGGATACCTTGCTCTCAAAGATCTATGGATCAATTCAAAGTTTTCAAGGTCCAATATGTCGATTCGTGAGGTAAGGCGAAGTGGGGAGAGAAAAAACCCGAGAGGGAGGAGAAAGAAGAGGAAGAAAGCTCGGGTAGGAAGGTTGGGGTCGGGGTTAAAACACCACCTCGGCGCCATAGATCATGGCGCCAAGCTCGGTGCCAAGATCTACGGCGCCGAGCTCGGCGCCAGGATCTACGGCGCCGAGCTCTCTGCCAAGTCACCGTCACGTCTGCGTCGAGCCCAAGACCTCGGCTCCAGCAACAATGGCGCCGAGCTAAGGGTCCATATTTTGAAATCATACCTCTAGGGGCATATTTGTGAAAAAAAAATCAAAAAAAGGGCTAAAAAATAAAAAATTCAGTATGTATGACATCTAGTGAAAGGCGTAGCACTCTAGTGGCCATATGAAAAAGTGAATTACTTAGTGACTTGTGAATAACAAAACTACCCACAAGCTTGACCTTGGAGATTTAGACAGACTGCTGAAACTAAGTCCCTGGTTCAATACCTGACTCGAGAGATGGCCTGTACTTGCTTGAGGCTTTATTTGGATGCTGGGCGGGTCAACCTAGCTTGAGACTCAGCCATGCAGCAAACACAACAATTTTTTTACACACCTCCTAGGTTTTGAAAAAAATATGTGTTTTGATTTGCACATTGCCAGTGACCTCTTTGGATTAGGGGAAGGGTTGATGGGGAATCTGATGTGCTTTAAGCTTATAAATTGATCGAGGGAGGTAGGCCAGACCGGAGGTGGCTGGTGATGGGTGGAGCAGTGAGGCGGCATCTTGCCGCCGGCCATCTTGCCGCCGGCCACAAGTGATGGAGGATGATGGTTGGGCTAGGTTTTGGTGAGGGAGCTCGATTACTTTGTGGTAGCACCACGGGAGGATGACCTGAGGAGGGCAGTAAGCGGGAGAGTGGACATTGTGCATGTTCTAATTGATCAAGTGTGGAAGACAACCAAAGGAAGATGAAGACAGGTGATATATTCGACCCAAATCCAATGGCTTACCTGTGTTGGCTGAGAAGAACAAAAAATCAGGCACCTATTGATTAGCAATTCCCTTTTTTTATAAAAAAGGAAGCAGCTAAGGTTTCACCCTTGGTGGCCTATGACTCTAGTGCGACAAGTGAAACCCATTGTCACGATGGCATGTTGTTGTCAAGCTTGAGCCACCTACCGCCTTTGTTGATCCTCCCCTTCTGCTCAACTAAAGGGAGGAAGAAAGAGGAGAGGGAAGAGAGAGAAGGGAAATAGATGCATTTATCCACCCCTATTTCCTAGTGTTCATAAGTGGAACAAAAATAAAATAACGATGTCCCGAGACATGCATATTAACTAGACACTTGCTTCTATGGGCAGAGAGGTTTAAGGAACGATTGCACTCTCTAGGGGAGATAACGGCAAGCGTGTTGTGAGCCCTTGTTCTTTAATAACCGACGTGTGTTCATGACGAGCTGGGCATGAGTTGGATCCTGCACTAGCGGATTTTGTCGCGACGTGTATCATAATGCTCTTGCCAAATTTTGTCGAGATGTATATCATGTTCCTCACGCCTAAATTTGAAATTTGTAACTGATGCAACGTAAGAACGGTTCCATATTGCCTGATTTTATCTGACATAAAATTGATGTTATCAGATTCATACTGAAAAATACTTACTTATTATGACTTTGTATCAGAAACATGAATTGGTAGAACAATTGTCAATCCAAGTCAAAACATGGTTCCTAACTAAACAATCCTTGTAATTTCAAAGCAGAGGGTGCCTTGTCAGACCAGTGAACTTTCACATCATTTTATATTTTTCTTTCAAAATATGAATATGATAGCATCAATCTTGTATAAAAATATGTTAATATAGCAATTATCTGTTAAAATCCCGTCCTAGCAGAGAAATACACCCGAATAGAGGGAGTGCATTCTCATATATTTATGGCATCCAGTGAAAAGCATAGCACTCTAGTGGTGCATTCTCATATATGTATGACATCCAGTGAAAAGCATAGCACTCTAGTGACCCTATAAAAAAGTGAACTACTACTTGGCGACTTGTGAACGGCAAAACAACCCACAAACTTGAGCTCGGAGACTTGGGCAGACCCCTGAAACTAAGACTCGGGTAGCTTGGAGGTCTCACTTGATAAGCTCCGAAGCTCTGAATTCGAAGCCTGTGCGTATAGGGTAGCTATCTCGAGCGCCACTAAGCACCACCGACCACCGAACTCCTGAAGTCCCGGCGGCCGAAGCGTTGGGCCGTTGGCCATTTTTGCGGCGCCTCGTCAGCTGCAGGAGCAGCGGAGCATTTGAAAGCGAAAAAGCTTCACGCTGGTCAATATCCAGAACGATCGAACGAATAAGCATACAAAGTACAAACTGGTTAAAATTCTGAATCAGATCCAAGTCGCCTTATGCATTAACACACTGAATACATGTACTCATCAATTACTTAACACACGGAATGCAGACTGAATGAATGAGAATGAGATGAGATGTCGACGCCGAGAATTTCTAATAACGAAAAAAAGAATAGCATTTGGCTCCATACATACAAGGGAAAGGACAACACTTTCGGCGGCGGCCGCCGCGCTGATCGACGACGATCATTCAGAGCGCGGGGAGGGAGAAGAGGTCGTCGTCGCCGATGTCGCTGAACCGGCAGACGTCGCCTCCTGGCCACATCGGGAGGCTTCCGAGGTCGAGCGTGGGGTCGTCGGCGAGGTAGTCGATGAGCTGCGGACTGGGCAAGTCGTCGAACGGGACGCCGCCAAAGGCCGGATCGCCGAAAGGGGTGAAGGAGAACACGTCCTCGCCGAGCTGATCAGGCAGGAGCGCGTCGGCGGAGAACGGCGACAAAAGGCCGCGGCCCGGCGCGTCTTTCTTGGCGGTTGAATCGGCGGCGTCGGTGGGTTTCAGCGTCAGAGGCGCCGTCTCGCCAGGCATTGCCCGGAGGACGGAGACCGGCGAGCCCACCACCAGCTGGGACTCGTCGCTGGACTCTTCGGCGGAGGAGAGCTCGCCCACGACGTCGCCCGCGGCAGGAACGGCGTGGGGCGACGGCGGAACGAGATCAGGCGTCGTTGGCGCTGCGGGGAAGTTGGTAGTCGCCGATGGCCCGCGGAGTCGGCGGGCCTCGCTGTCGTACTTCCTGGCCGCCTCCTCGGCGGTGTCGAAGGTGCCCAGCCACACCCGCTCGCCCTTGTGCGGGTCGCGGATCTCCGCCGCGTACTTCCCCCACGGCCTTCTCCGCACGCCCCTGTACCTCGGCTCCGCCGCGGCGCCCGGCGCCAGGACCGCCGGCGCTTTCCTCTTGCCACCGCCAGCGATCCTCCCGGCGGGCGCCGGGGTTGCTGTGACATGGTAACACGGCCGATGCTCCTCCAAGACGATCTCTTTGAGGAACTTACGCACCCCCCGCGCTCCAGCACCGTCACCGGCAGTAGCCTCGTCGCCGGAGGAGTCCGTGGCGTCACGGTCGTCGCAGAAAACGCGAACTAGTTTGCGGATCGTGGTCGTCTCTGAAGGCTCCTGCTTGATCTTCCGCTGTGATCTCATCACCGCCGCGGCCGCGGCCGCTGCCGCCTTGTGGACCACAGCTGCTGCTTCCACCATTGCTCCGCTCCTCAGTGACTTGTGGCGAACGAAGCGGGCATAGAGAGAGGAGTAGAGGAGGCGATACTAGATCGTTGCGTGGAGAGAGAGAGAGAGAGAGAGAGAGAGAGGGGAGGCCTGGCCTGGTCGTTGAGAGATGGGAGGAGGGAGGGAACGTAAAGAGATTTTTTGGGCAAAAATTTTAGGATCTGCGGTTTATTTGGCAAACAGCCCGATCATTAACGATTTGTTTAGCTAGGCTATCTCTTCAATAATGCATTGCCATTTATGCGAGATATTTGTTTGCTCGCAAATCTGCCTCATGTTGGTTTGAACGCCTTCAAATACAAATTTGGGAAGAAAAACATGAGACGTGCGCTCTTTACAGTTCAAACCAGTTTTTTTTTCGAAAAAACAAATCTAATATTTAGTAGATCTACGCCACATGTAAGAAATGTACGGGCCAGAAATTTTTGTTTTGCTTTTTTTCTTATTATAAAATGCTCGTTCATTTTAAATTATTGGAAAAATAAAAAATAAATTAAGTAAATGACATCTGGCGGGTCCAGTTGGATCTCATGTGCTGCAAGGCGACATGGAACATTTGGTAGTAAAATTAATTTGGCTCAATAACTGTTGCATCACAACATTTTTATTTGCTTATTTATTTTCTTCCAATTTTGCGGATACTTTTGTAGTGTACTGCCCCATATGAAGCTGAAGTCTGAATTTGATTTTTTTTCAAAAAATAAAACTTTTAATAAAAAATGATTCATTTTGGATCTATCAATAAGAACCGTTAAGAATTGCGATGCTTGTGAAGAGCATGATATTCTTCGTGCAAGAAATGTATCGGAACTTTCGAGTTAAACTAACTTGGTAAAAACCAATATTTCTTTATATTGTTGAAAGTTGTTTTAGTAGTGGCTTGTTTTTTCAAAGAAAAACTTAACGATATTTTCTTCACATTTAATGATTAAAATATCATTCTATATATCAAAATAGTCAGATTTATGTGAATTTTGTGTTGCGTGCTTTCTAAACTATCACATTAAGTACATACATATAAGCCCACCTTTTTCTTAAAACACTTTGAATAAATTTTGGCCTTTTTGTAAAAGCTTGTTTTTTGATATTTTGAAGACAAGGTATCCCATCATTGGTGGTCGCCTATGCCATTGATATGTAGACCTCACGTGTGGTTGGCTTAAATTGGATCTACTCACCTACATCTATGCACACGCACGTAGGCAAGCTAGCGGCATAACAAACAAAAGATTAAAAAATCATCAGCTGTAAACTTCTTACGCAAGCTAATTCACAGCTCATCCTTCGTACCACTTCTAGCACTTGTTCAGTTTTCACTTACATGTATATGATTTTAGTGAGTTGTCGCGTAACGTTAAAATTTTCAATCATGAAAATGAATGTGCATATCTTGAACATTTAAATCTAGATCGAGTTTTGAAGCGTGTTGTATTCACATGAATTTCCATTCCTCTTCATGTGAGAAATTAAATATTTAAACTAGGGTATGATAACAATAACCAAAGAACCACTAGTCGGCTCCATTGCATATGTGTTGTGCTACAATGCATTACATTATTTCTTATTCTTTCATTGTGGTAGCTTCATGTGCATATCATGAGCTACAACACAAACTTGCAATTCTCCTACATTTTATTTGTATTCAATACAAGATATGTGATCTTCCACATGAACCTTTTGCAATCAACACCTATGTGAGAATTTGTTGGGTTTTTTTATAGGAAATGTCTAAGTCAAGCTTAATGTATGGAAACAATTAGCTCTTTACATTGAGTTTGTAACAAAGTATGCCAACTTTTTGGTGCTCATTAGTTAGGTAGGTTATAGAGTGTCTAAGTGTACTCAAAAGGATCCACATCAAACATAGATACCATTTGAAGAGTACATTTAGGCACTCCATAATAAACCTGAGCAAATTGAGCCCGCATCAGCCTGGCCCGAGCCTATTGGGTTTTTGCCCACCCATGAACCTTAGTGGATTGGGCCTGGGCATAGATCCTGTTGGCTACTGCCTAGAAAAAAAAATTCTTGGAGCGAGCCTGGGCTGAAATATTTGTTTTAGCTGTTTTACATTTTAAACTACGTAGGTGGCCCGCAAGGACCCGGTTCGAAAAAATAGGCCTAAGTCACCTAGTGGGATGGTCATGGGCGAGATTATTTTGGCCCCAAATAATCGGGCTTTTTTCGGCGAGGCCAAACCTAGCTGGCCCATAAAATGCTCAAGCCTACTCTATACTCTAAGGCACCTAGCCTAAATCAAATAAATTAAATTGGATGAGTTAGAATTGAAAACAATAACAAGATTAATGGATCAATCCATAGGATGAATTAGTAAAAACTATTAGATACATGGATGAACACAGGATCTCAGAGGATGTGGTTGTAGAATTATTGAACAACAATGAAATGTTTAATAGATCACCAGAGCATCCAGTGATAGCAGGACCCAACCTAGAGTTGGAGTTGTACTATAACTAGTATATGATCCAAAGGCTATCAATGGATTATTGAACAATCCAACGAAGTAACCGATCAGCAATCAAAGAATTTGGCTAAGTCCTTCACTCAAGGCCCAATGGATGATCTAGAGAAGAGAAGATGGTAACCGAACAGTCCAACGAAGGTGAAGTTCATCTTGGCACAAATTTTAGCTTGATCATTTATGTGTACGCTCTAGGCATTTCAATGTAGATAGATAGACAAATCACAATTTCAATTGGACTCCAATGGCTAGCTCAGAGAACGTGGCCATGTGTCATCACTGGATGATCTAGTGGTGCACCTAGAGTGTCAATGGTTCATTGGTTGGACTATGTGGCTATATTTGTTGTGGTCTCTATTTATAACTCTTTGATTAGCTTTGTTAGGATACCTTGGCACATTGGAGACCTAGGCTAAGCTGTGGAGTTAAAGAGAAGGCCAAGAGAGAAGTCATAGCCTAGGAGTGAGATTGAGTGCATGTGATCATCTTGAGCTCCTTGTTGGCTTAGGTGTTGCTCGTGGAGCTCCGAACAGTTTTTAGTCACCTCAAAGGTATCAAAATACCAAGCTCAATATTTGTGGTCACTTGGAGAGCAAGGGTTGAAAAGCCAATATTTGTGACCACCTCAACACCATAGACGTAGGCAAGCCCTAGTTGTTTGGTTAAACCCTAAGATAAATCACTTGTCTCTATGTGCTCTTTGTGTTTGTGTTTGATTTGGGCATCACCCCCTTGTGCTTTCGTTGTTTGCTTAAAATTATGAGCTTGTGTATGTAGGTGCATCCGAAGAAAACTTCAAGAGATCATCATCTTCTACCTTTGGTAACTTGTCAAGTTCAATCCTTAGTGGAAGTAGGATATAGCCTAGTTAGTGGCACCTTGCTTGTGTAGCTGTTACTTTTGTAGTTGTTTAGAGTAAAGTAGCCCGGGTAGCTTGTGCTTACTCTTTTGTTTTCTTCTTGCTCTAGCTCTTGTGTAGTCTAGGTGATTTAATCCCCTTGTGTTCTTCAATTGGTTGAGAAGCCAATTCAACATCAAAGTACTAATTGTTTTTCCCAAATATTGTTTAAATTTTGTAGATCACCTATTCGCCCCCTCTCTAGTTGATGACTTGTGTGGTACAAGGTTCTTTTAGTGACCAACGGTCTTAATGGTTTATCATTTTCTTACACGAGTGGCCAAAAAAAATTCTAGAATAACTTACATCTCTCCCAACAATTCTATTGAAACAAATATAATATTTAATAGATCAATGCCAACATGTAGGAGATGTATTAGCCAAAAAAAGTTTGCATATTCTTCTTATGTGCATTCTTTTAAAACTAAAATAAAAAACACTATAAGAATAAAGTTCTAGATATCACCATTGTAAATACAACTGTAGGTGAGATCTAGGTCCAGGTGGATCTCATGTAATGCGAGGTGACATGAAAAACTAAGTAACAACTTTCACTTATGAGATTAACTAGGATTAGCTTAACATCTTTGTTTACACATTTAGTTTCTTCCAATTCTATAGATACTTTAGTGGTGAACTTACTCTTTTTAAGAAAAATGTTAACAGTTTATCAAATAGAAGCATTTTGTTTTGGAACTATCAATAATAAGTGTTGAGGATTGTGATGCATGTCTAATTATTTTTTACAATCTTGCAAATATGAAGTTATGATATTCTTTGCTGAAGAAGTATGCCAAAATTTTCTTGTGCACACTAACTTCATAAAATTCAATACTTCTATAGATCGTTCAAACTTTATTGAGTGGCACATTATTTTTCACAAAAAGTTAAACAATATCATTTTCACATTACCAATAAAGACATAATTTTATTATTATTTTAATTTATGTAAATTTCAAATAATCACATAGTTATTTATGTACACTGTCGGCTTTTCTTAAGAAAAACACTTCTTGTAAATTTGGGCACGACCGTAGGAAGTTTGAACGTTTAATATTCTTAAAAAGAAAACCTAATTGAAGTGACTTTAAATTGCTTGAGGGTACAACATTCCACCAATGGTTGCTGCTTATATTGATGATATTTGTACCTAGTGTATATATGTTTGGGTTTAACTAAACTCGCTCTTCCACATCTATGCTATGCACGCTTGTGGCGTAACAAGTTGTCTAGAAACATGCTAGCTGAAAATTCCTTCATGCTAAGCTGATTCACACCTGATAATTCCTATCATTGTTAGTGCCTATTTAGTTTTCTCCTACCTGCATAGTTTGGTAGTGAATCACCCTTATGAAAGTGGCATCTGAATTTGATATTTTCTTACAAAGGTAAAAGTCATAAAGGAAGTGTTTTTATCTTAGATCCATCAATAAGAAGTATAATATTCTTCATGGAAGAAGTATACCAAACTTTCATGTCAAATTAAGTTAGTAAAATTGAATATTCATTTATACCATTTAATTTTTTAGTAGCACATTATTTTTTAATGAAAATTAATGATATTATCTTCACATTTATTAATTAAAATATCAT